AGTCAGAAAGGAGACAGGCAAAGTCACCTCAGGGATTCTTAATTAGGATTCAGGATACCTCGGTAGGGAAATATGAGATCTCTTCTCTACAAATCAAGCCAAGAAAGCAGAAGCTTTATGATAAAATTCAGGGTAATGCTATCAGGTACATCATTTATTTTTAACATAATGTTGAGATATTTAATAAAATGGCACCATACATTTCATTATGTAAAACTGGCAATAGTGCCAACATCACATCCACTTATTACCACAGCAGCAAGGTCTTAAATCTCTTCAGCTATATTTTGAAACATGAAATACATTCTTATGAAAGAAAATTTCCAGAATCAGTGAAATTGATCAAACATCATATGTATTTATGTTTTTTTTGTGTTGGCACCTGACAAAGGTGCCGTGATATCACAAACCCTCCAGGAGTCCATGTCCTCTCAGTCTCCTCTCGGTTCCCCCGACCCCGCGCCATCCCCCTGCCCACTGGCTTCCTCCACCAGCCCCTGTCACTGGGGCTGGGGACTCTCAGGAGAGATATGCATTGCTCTCTGTTCTAATTGCTCTTCTTGTGTCTTGATTCATTTTCTTTCCATGTCTATTCTACTTCTGAGCCAACCCTTTTATCTGCCTGTCTGGTGTCTAAACTCATCAAGAACAATGACTTCATGCCGATTAAGAACCATCCAACCTGTGGGGTCCCTTTGGGTAGGGTCTTTGATCCTCCGCATAGGCCAGTGATCTCGACCATTGTTAATAAAAGGGTGGTCTGGTCTCATCTGGAAGCTTGTCAGAAACACAGAAACTCAGACCCCACCCTAGAACTACTGAGTCGGAATTTGCATGTTAAAAAGATCCCCATTGATTCACAGGCGCAGTAATGCTTGAGAGACACTGATCTAATTGTCCGTTATTTGATTATTATGGCAGAGCCCTCCTACTCTTTAAAGTTTGGGAAACACTGCTTTAGTTGTTGTTGTTTTTTTTTTTTTTGGTCCTATCATCATGGCCAGTCTTCAGAGTCAGGTGGCACAGACATAGCAATATTTGTATAAGGGACTGTCTTAATGTACCCTCTCAAAAGATGACGCTGTAACTGGTAGGCATTTGAATCTTTGTAGCCATTGAATTTAGACACAGTTCAGAATTGAATGGTGTAAAGAAGACTACCATGGACAGCGCTCCCCCACAGGTACCTGGTAGTGAGAGCTCTCTTGGGCCGTCAAAAGCTGGAAGGGCTGGTGGCCAGAGACACAGGGGGTTTGAATGCTGGGTCCGTCATTACGTAGCTCTGGAGAGTGAACTTGTTCATTTCTCTCTCTGAGCCTCGGTTTCCTTACTTGTAAAATGGAGATGACAATACTTATTTAATACATGTTGCTTTGAAAAGTTACTGAAAAAAAATCACTAGACATGTAGGTGTTTAATAAATATCACTCCCTTCCTTTTTCTTGTCATATTGCAATTAAAGTTGGTAAAACAAAGTCTTTGAAAAATAAGAATAACAAGTTGCCTCTAGCCTGGAGCTAATGTGATGATGCCAAGGCTGTCAGAGCTGGTGGTCGGGGCGGGAGGGCGGGAGTAGAGGTCCACTCTGGCTCCCAAGCTCTTCATTCCCTTTCACAGGCTGCAGGGCCCTGGGAAGGGGATCTGGGTGCAGACATGCTCAGCACCCCCCCAGCCCCCACACTCCACCCTGCAGGGCGGGGCTCCGCACAGCCACTTGCAGGAACCTGGGGTTTGAGCCTGGAATCTCACTCTCCGTGGGATTCTAAGGAGCCATTCTTTGAAGAGCTGGTCTCCTCTGGTCCCTTGTTAACCCAGCTGTGTTCAGTCCCCCCCCCCCACCCCGACGGTTAGTCACACCACGGCCACTCCTGTGGGGCTCAGTCTCTGTCCCTGTGCCACACCCTCCTCCTTTCTGTGGCTAGATTGTACCCGTTTGTGAAGCAGCTTTTCCACGCAGGGCTCAGTCTGATCTTGCATGAAGAGTTGGCTAAGGCTTGCATCGCTGCTTTGCCTTCTCAGCTGTAGCTGCTTTCCTTGCTCCCCAAAATTTTGTTTTGACATTTTCATACCAAACTTTTGCCCAACTCTGAGGTCTCCTCAGAGACTACCCTGCCTCCTTTCACCTTTATACAAGCCCAGGTTCTAATAATATTCTGTATTCTATGCCATGGATCTAAAGGTTAAACATTAATCTGCATCAGGTTGTTTAGGATTATATTTTAGCTTTTCTTATGGGAATTTATTTTACCTACACCTTCATCTTATAGGTGTCCATTTTAGGTTGTCTGTGAAAATGTAAAGCATATTTGAACCAGAGACCAGATAATGCTCAAAGATCATCTGATACTCCCAGGAAGCAGCAGTGGGCCCCTAGCCTCCATGAGTGGGTGTGATACAGAGAGATCTGATCAGATCGCTGGGGAGAAGACGGCAGGGGCCGTAGGAGGAGGTAATGGTAAACAGTTTAGGACGGGACTGGCCAAGAAGCCGAATGCCTCCAGAGTGCACGGCATTGTGGGCTAGAAAATTTGACATAAAAGATGTCTTGCTCTCTGGCTCTCTTCTTCCTCGAGGATGCCTGGGTCATCGTGCTGAAGCTGCCTGCCTTTCCCAATGGATGGTATTTTGGATGGGAAGGAACTCCGGGCACAGCTAGGATCAGGCTGGCCTGGCAGAGGGTGGCAGGGTTATTCTCTGGGTGTTCTAGAGGGAACAGGCTCTGAGGAAGAAGACTGACATTTTCCCAAAATTGTGTAACTTTTGTATATTGTGGTTTTTTGTTTGTAAACTAACCCTATAGAAATAACTAAAAACAGGGGGGAAATGCTCGGAGAACCCAGGTGTTAAACGTTTAGCCTTAATTGATAGGCTTAAGTCACTGCTTTTGAATACAGACTCCGTTCCTTTATCGCCAAAACTTTGCCTCTGGAATTTTGCCTGGAGGGTGGCAGTGGGCAGTGATCATTTCATAGCATATCAAATGATATGAAAATCATTTGATAATGATTTCAAAGAGGAAACACTTGAAGCTGGGTCTGTCAGAAGGAAAAATCTGCCTAGAGGGCAAACCGCTGTTTGGTAACAGGTGGGGCACGTCTGCCTACCAGAGCGGCTGTGAACGGGACGCGCAGTCCGCGGCTCTCCGCAATCAAAGTATCAACCTTCATCTGGTTTCTAACTTGTTTTCGGGCATAGCGTTTGTCACTGTGGATTCTCCCTTTTGCTTTCCTTGTTCCTCCACTCAAGGCGAATTATGCCCATCCCCATGGCTGGCCCTAGACAATCCGGCAAATCATTTGGTATGAAATATCAAACTGATATTCTTTAAATAATGGCTTGACATTTAACGAGAGCAAAGGCTGAGTGGTATGGGGGAAGGACAAGGGAGAAGGGTGGAGAATCCCTGGTGCCAATTGTCCCGTCTCAGCAGAGAGCATTTCTGCTCTCACCCCAAACTGGCCCACTCGGCCTCCTACGGACACAGCCCTGCAGCCTCCTGGTCCCTCTCCCTGGACGACAGGCGGGTGACCATCTCCCTGCAGCAGGCCCTCGAATTCCTCTCCTTGCCACCTGCTCAAGGAAGGTTCGTTTCTAATCACACACCGCTTCTTCCAGGGAGGTCACACACGCTTGTACAGCAGTGTTTGGGACTTCTCCGGTGCTAGTGTTTGGCCATCAGCCTGGCCAGCCCCTCCCTTTACCTCAGGGCTGGCAATAAACCCATATTCTAACCCTATGACTGCACTCACTGCCTGTTTTAAGGGCTGTGGGGTCAGAAGCAGAAAGGAAGTCCCCCTTCACCACAACTTCTGCTCCCTCAGGCACAAGCCTGGCGGCGACCTCCCTCCTTTCCCCCTTAGGAGGGATAAATCCCCTGCTTGATTTTTTTTTTTTTTCAGTTCCTCTAAACAATCCTCAATTGCCCATGCTCTTGCTAAAATTTGTGTGTCCATCACAAACTTGTGTGAAACGTGATTACTATTCTTTGTACTTACAAGCCTTAAAAAAAAAAATGAAGTTAAAAGGAAAAAATTGAACTCACACACAGTTTGACAGATTTTCCCCACCGAAGAGGAAAGGAAAAACAAAAACTCCCCACATTAGCGAGTTTCATGATAATGATTTCAAAGAGGAAACACTTGAAGCTGGGTCTGTCAGAAGGAAAAATCTGCCTAGAGGGCATTTTTGGTATTTGTTACACCAGATAGCCTTCCTTGAGCACCTGGCCAAGACCTAAGTAATTGTGTAATGTAATGAGAGTGTTTTGACGAGTTATGCAAAAAACACACAAAAAACAAAACAATCCAGCGCTTTGATGATGGCCAGAAAAATCTAATTCCCGACCGTGATCCGGGTCCTGGTGACCAGCCCCGCCGGGTGGCGTTTCCTGCCCGCAGCTCCGCGCGGCCCCAGGTGAGTCTTGCGCGCTCCCCTCGCTCGGGCCTGCGGGAGGGGCTGGAGCGTAGGCGGAGGGCGGGCCGCGGGTTGCGGGGACCCAGATCCGGGCCCAGACTGCAGCTTCCCTTCCTCGGAGCCTCATTTGCAGCCACATCCTCATCCCTTTCCAGGGCGTGCCGCCTGGAGGCGCGGAGCCCGCCCGGCGCGCCCCAGCCCTGTCGCTCCGGCCGGGGCGGAGGCCGCCGGACCGCGGAGATGCAGGGCGGGGGCAGGGCGCGGGGTAGGTGACTTTATCCCGCCTGTTTCCCTGCCCCGGGGAGCAATGACATCACGCGGCCTTGTCCAGGCGCCGACACAAAGAGAGGCGCGGAGAGGCCGCTGCGGGGGAACCCGGCGGCCGCCCCTGCCGCCCTGGACCCTGGGGTCCCACCGGCCAGGCCCGCCGCACGCGGCCCAAGCCCTTTCAACTTCTCCTTTGCCGCCACCGCCTCGGTCGCCGCTGCCGGCGCCCGCAGCGCGCCGCTGAGCCCGCGCCCGGCCGCGCCGGCCCCTTCTCATGCGGGCGCGGGCCCTGGGAGGGGCGCCCGCAGCCAGCCGCGCAGCATGCACTGGGGGGTTGGCTTTGCCTCGTCCAGGCCGTGCGTGGTGGATCTGAGCTGGAACCAGAGCGTCTCCTTCTTCGGCTGGTGGGCCGGGTCCGAGGAGCCCTTCTCCTTTTATGGGGACATCATCGCTTTCCCTTTGCAGGATTACGGTGGGATCATGGCAGGGCTGGGCTCCGATCCCTGGTGGAAGAAAACACTTTACTTGACCGGGGGAGCTTTGCTGGCCGCAGCTGCGTATCTGCTCCACGAACTCCTGGTCATTAGGTGAGCCGGAGAGGGCCCCGCGTAGGGGCGCCAGAGGGGCTTGGCTACGGCAGGGCTGGCGCAGGGCGGGTGGGGGGCGTGCCAGCCCCTCGGTCACGCTGCCGAAATGACCAGAGGCAATCCATGGGCACCTGGTCGTGAGGGGCAGTTTAGAGTTGACAGGAGAATTAAACTGGTACTGGGAGGGAAAAACGTATGTCTCCCAATCTTTCGGTGCTGAAAGCAAAAAGACTCTGGGTTGTTTTGGACCGAAATAGTCTAATTTGAAACGCCCTTCGGAAGATCCTAAGTGTAGTGTTTTTGCAACAATAGAATTAGGCCCTGTAGGAATACTAAGTTACACTTTTATGAAATGCCTTATTTGTTTATAGATAATAATGCTCGAAAGTTAACCACTAACCTTAGCTTTTACTTAAAGGTTAGTTCTCCACTGCCCCTCCTCAGATGTTAACATCATGAAAAGGCTAAAATTGCAAAGGTCCAGAGACCTCTGTGCCCCTGTGTAGGGATGTATGGCCAGGTGCAGTGGTGTGCAGTTTGCTGTTTTGATGCAGCCTTAACCTGGGTCTCTGCTAATCTGATATTTAAAGCTGAACACCATCTTCAGGTTTAAGTGCCATTGTTGTGTGAGCTGTAGGAGATCCGAGGACAGGGCTAGCACATGGGCCTGCTTGACAAGAACACGGGAGTCGCCAGTGCCATAAACGGTTGCATCGGCTGCCTGCTGCAGAATGTTTACAGGATTGACTTGGGAATACCAGAAAATGGAGGCCCTGCTGTTGGTACATCCAGCTGGACACGAGATCTTTGTCTGACTAGGGTAACACCATCGGCTACTGAGATAGTCGTATGGCTAATTGCTATACTGATTTGTCATTAAAATTTCTGTTCACTTGAACCCTCTGTCACTGAGAAATGACCAGAAATGAGCAGTTTTCAATAGCTTAGAATGTCCCTGTTGGCCAGTATTTTGTAAATACTGAGAAATGGGTCCACACTGCCTTTTTCCAGTGAGTCCTACACAATAGGTTGTAAACAAAGATGGTGACAGGTGACCTTTAATAGGCCTGCAGGCGTTCCAGAAGGACATTGTGACAGGCTAACTCAAGTATGGTGAATATTTCTAGTCTCAGAGGGAAGGAAATCACCTAAGTCTGGGGAAATGTATTGGCTTTCATATTATTTAGTCATAATTGAGAAGCTTTATTTTCACCTTATTATACATTGAATGCCCTCACTTAGCACAGTGCCTTGAATCTAGGTGAACCAAATAAATTTTTAAGTGAACTTATCTCTAGATTATTTAATGTTTTTGCTGCTTCTAAAACCATTTCAAGTTAGGTTTCAAGCTATATGAAAAACTAAACCATTTGTGCAGTAATTTAAACGGTAACCCCATTGTTTCTCAATTATATTCCAGCCCAAAGACTTTTCAGGATCCCAAACCAAGTGGCTTCTCACCAGTTGTCCACTTTGTGGAGGGAGTGAAGGCACAGCTTCACAGGAGTGAGTCCAAACCTTGCTTAAATGACCTTGCAGAAATAGCAAGGAGCTCAGAGCTCACCCTGGGAGCAGGCCACACCCTGGTAGGTGTGGTCGCTGGACACAGGAAAGGCCTTAGGACACAGGAAAGGCCTTAGGACACAGATGTGTCCTTCCCTTCGTAGGGGACTCCTTGGATACTTAGTTGAGATGTTTTCAATCCTTGGTTTATTCACTTTTGTTCTTTGACAAATGCTTAAATTGAGTTGGAAAATCCTGTTACAATGGAAGTAATAAGAGTGCCTGCCCATTTTTGAGCCCTTAGCAGGGTTTCTGCATAGAAATGCTTTATTTGCATGATTGCATTTATTCCTTAAAAAACTAGCTTTGGATGCCTATTCCTCATTTTATGGGTAAGGAAAGTGAGGCCCAAGATGGTTAAGCAACATGCCCAAGATTACACAGCAAGAGTCGTGGGATCCGGATTCAAATCTGAGAATGTGCATCTGCTGAGTCTGAACTTTTCCACCACTGCCTCCTAGAGAGTACCAAGTCTGCAAGAGGTTTCAATGCGGGGAGAGAAAGAGAAATGTAGAGAATTGGGGCATTGCTCCAGGAAGACAGGCCTGTGGTAAGGACCTGAGTTTTTGACAGCCTCTAGGGGCACAGAGAGAGAGGGAAAAACAGACTGGGGAGAGGTTCCGAGGTTGCATAATAAGAGACCTCCACTTAAAGTGAAACCCGTCAGTTATCTGTGTAGTTTAGGGAAAACACAAAACAATGCGATATATGTGAAATGGACAATACACCTTGAAATGGTTACACTAAGTTCACTGGCAGGCGTGTAGTCTTCACCACCCTGCTTGGATTTGCTCCTGTAGGGACTTAACCTTAATGTATGGCTATGTCTCCAGAGTGGAAGGTGAAGTCGTCAGGTGAGAGTTATTTATGAAGTTTCATTAATGAGTATAACCTAAGTAGGTATTTTGGATTTTATTCATGTTTTCCCCACCACAATATTTTTAAACAAGTGTAGTTCCAACCCCATGTTTTTCTCCCTGAGTGGAGGTAGCGTATGTAGCAACTGTCTTTAATTCAATTTGGCATTCGGAAATGTATTGTTTGTAAGTTGAATGACTAAATGAATGACTTTGTTCCTGGCAGCTCATTTGCATTTAAGGCACAGGGGCTCAGCCTGTACTAGAAAACTTAAGGAATCAAGAGCAGTGTCATCTGATCTCCACAAACAGCTCGCCAGCCATACTCAGCGGCCTGGTCCCTGGGCTGTGTTTCACCACGGGAGTAGGGGCGAGTCTCGCTGCTCCACGGGTGTTCTCACAACCCTCATCATAAGGTCACTTGATGAAATACAGCTGTCCAGGAAATAGGTCACCTGCTTCTCTGATCCTAAGCGAGAGAGGTTCCTGATGTGTGGAGGGAGGGCTCTGGGGCCAGGTTGGGTTCAAATTCACTCCGCTCTTAATCAATCATGGGATCTTGGATTGGAGAGTAACCTTTTTGACTGCTGGGTTTTCTCATTTGTAACATAAGGATGGTAACAGTAGCCTTCCTCACAGAGTTGATGAAATGAGTTAACACATATGAAGTGCTTAGCACACCGTTTGACATATAGTGAGCATACAACAAAAGTTGGATATTAGTTACTATAGACATTCATCAGAAAGTTCCAGGCTTGAGTGATCTGAGTCAAACTGGCTCTTTTAATAAAAATAACTGAGGAATTGTCCGTTTTTGTGTAGTTGAAGTGCTTAAGAACTGGGGAACTGGAGCTATAACAACTTGATCTTAAAATGATATTCCTTGGGCAAGTTATTAAGCTCTCAGAGCTTCAGTTTCCTTGTCTACTGCAAATATAAGTATGGTGTAATATACCAAGTTTAAAATATAATATTCATTCTATAGTGTTACTGAAGTCATTTAATATGTGTGTATGCAAAGTCATTGGCATATATGCTTGTCACATAGTTAGCATCTATTCTTATGACATGGCCCAAGTTAACCATTAGAATTAGATTGTTTTGGCCAGTGGCTCAGGGGATTTTATATTTATCTCCTAACCTTTCAGTTCTTAAAATTTTGCCTGGCTAATCTGCATGAAAATACCACTCCATGACTTGAATTATTTGACTGGAAAAAAATCAGTTAGTTGTCAAATCTACCATGTACACTTTCTAGGAACATCGCCTAAATGGCTTCCTAATGTTAATATCTGGTCTTTCAAATATGTCATTGAAGTGAAAAACTTTGATTCATGGCAAATACTGCCAGGAAGCAGCCAATATTTTTATTCTTTTGACCAGTATTTTCAAAATGAGCCATTATCTCTTGAAGTGGAATGGGCACTTGAGTGGTAAACTTCTCCAAAAGAGTTTGTTATATTGAGTGGAGATGCCGCCCGAAGTGGGCACCCGAGTGGTGAGGACACGAAGAGCTTGTCTTCGCTTGCTTAGATAGGAGTTCTGGAGGGATTGCCCTGGGAACAACTGAGGGAGCCAGGGCTCAGGGAAGGCCAGGGAGAAGAGTGGAAAGTTGGTGGGTAGAGTGAAAGATGGAAATTGCAGAAGGTTCCTGTGGTGTATGAGTGGAGCTGTGTGGAATGATGGGATTTTATAGCATAGGGGAATAAGACCATATCTCTCTGAATAAGAATAAAGTATTCTTATGTAATGCTTGATAGCTCACCAAGTGTTTACAGATATTAATTTACTTAATTCTCAGGATAAGAATCTGTACAGGAGAGGTACAATCCTCACTTTTCCTGTGAGAGGAGAGAAGAGGTTGAGGGTCACATGGCCCGGAGAAGGCAACACTTGGACTTGATCCCAAGTGTCCAGATGTGGAATCCAGTGTTTATTTTGCTTTTTGATGGCTATTGAAAACATGTATGAGGGAAGTCCTCCCCACCCAAAAAAAGCAGCCAAAGAAAAAGATAGATGTGTGGCTGAGATGAAGAAGGGGACAAGGTAGGGGCACTCATATAAATGCTGTGTAGTAGAGGTGGGGACCATGTGAAGGTAGAGAGGGTGAGAGAGCCCAGAAGCCAGGTTCCTTGGCACCACAGGTGAAAGGCCAGGTGAAGGCACAGAGAGTTTGAGAGCGGGACCAGAGTGCTCAATGTCTCAGATTCCCTGAAGACTTGGGTCATCTGCACTGTTATTGCAGGGGTCTGTGGCTGAATGGACTGTTTCACGGTGTAGTCTAATGGTCAAGAACATAGGCTCTGACTACCTGGTTCAGTCTAGGTTCTGCCATTTACTAGTAATGTGGCTTTGGGCAAGTTAATCCTATGCCTCAGTTTCCTCATCTATAAACCATGGATAACAAAAGCACCTACCTCATAAGGTTATTGTGGAGGTTAAATGAGATAATACCTGTGAAGCCCTCAGAACAATGTCTGACACATAATGAGCCCAGAATATCATTTTTATCCATCCAACTTGTCCCTGACAGGTGAACAGAGACAGTAAGGGGAAGAGGGGGCCCTGTACCCAAAAGTACTCTTCCTGTCCATTGGTATCAGAGGGAGGTTGATACATAGTTACTTTTCTGAGCTTTTGGGATATGGTAATATCAGAGTTTGTAAGGTTATTTTGTGTTTCAACCAAGCTTCCACTCTAAGTGCTTCTGGGTGAGGTAAGCCCCGTGCCAAACCGATCAGCTTGTTCATTGAGGAGCTACAGCCCAGCAGCGATCTGAGAAACTAAAGGAACTGCATGTATAACACGTGGGTTGTTCTTTATTTCTGTTCTGGTTTTAACAGGAAACAGCAAGAGATTGACTCCAAAGATGCTATTATTTTGCATCAGTTTGCAAGACCTAACAATGGTGTCCCCAGTTTATCTCCTTTCTGTTTGAAAATGGAAACTTATTTAAGGATGGCTGACTTACCCTATCAGGTACTTGTGTCCAAATATGTTTTATTCTCCTGACAGCAGTATTGATTAGAGGGCGGCACCTAATCTCCCATGGTGGGAAGGGCTGGCATTGGTGCTGGGGGGCGAGTATGAAAGCAGCAGTGCCCAGTCCTTGCGTGCGGGGGCTGTTGGTTTTTACACCTAATTTAATGTGGGATCAAAAGGGTTATGAACTTTTGTAGGGTTCAGGGCCATGTTATTTTTTCCTGACATAGAGTACAATTTGGTTAATAGTTTGGATAGGCTTACTGAGCAGCTGTCATCCAGGTGGGAGCACCAATGGCTGACGGGGTGTTATCCCTTAGGTTTCTATTTATTGACAGCATTGGATTTTGTCTCATGCCTCCCGGGGGCAGAGCACCCAGCACGCCACCAGAGAAATACGTACAGATTTTGTGAGAGTTTTCCCAGAGTGTTCCATGTTTTGTGTGGGTGACTCTCAGGGGAACGCTAGCCCAGTTCGGCATTAGAGAGTGAACAGAGGAAGTATAGGGTGAACATTTTCCTCTGAGTAATGCTTGAGCAGTGTCTCACAAATTTGACGGGTTCTCGTTTTCATTGTCATTCAATTCTATGTATTTTTTAAAAAATTCCTTTGTTTTTCTTTTTTACTTAAGTTCTAGCCAAATGCAATTTTTAAAGCTTTATTTTTGTTATTTTTTTTTAATTTTATGATCAGAGCAGGTAGACTTTGTGCTATTAATTCCTTGGAATTTACTGACCCTTTAGCCTAGTATGTGACCTTGTTTTATGAATGTAAAAAACAACTATGTATTCTCTGTGTGGGTGTATAGCTCTCTATGTACTTGCTCAAGCATATTTAGTGTATTGTTTAGACCTATATCTCTGCTTATATTTTGTCTGCCTGTTCTAGCAGTTTCTGAAAGGAATGGGTTAAAATATTAAAGTGTATTTGTTTATCTCTCTTTTTCCTGTCACTCTGTCAGTTCTTTCTTTAAGAGTATTTATATATTTGAGGTTGTATTGTTGGGTTCATTTAATATGAAAGATCATATCTTTTACTGTTTTGTTTCTTTTTCCAGTATACATCGCCCATCTTTTTTCCTTATGACTTTTTTAACCTTGAATTCTGTAATATCATTTATTGAGAATGATTCTTGAGCTTTCTTTTGACTCCTATTTGCTTGGGATATTATTCTTCATCCTCTTTCTTTATATTTTTATTTTTATTTTTTGTCTATTTGTCTCTTTTGGGCAATGTATTACTTATAACCAATCCGAATTGATGAATTTAATACATTTATACTTATTATTGTCTTATTAGGAGTTATCTCTAACATCTCATTTATTACTCTTCTCCTCACTATTCTTAATTTTCCTCATTTCCTGCTTTCCAATGATAGCTAAAATTGTTTCTGTCATTTAAAACAAATTCTATTTTTGTTGTTATGATGGTTGCTCTTAAGCTCCTAATGTGTGTTTATTTATCCCTATTTCTTAAATGTATCCCATTCTGTATTTGTCCTCTAATGATACATGCATGTTAGCAGGTTCATGGGAACCTTGGGTCAGTTTCTCCCCAACCCTCATCCCATTTGCGTTGCTGTTATGTAATATTTTACTTCTGGAATTTTGGAAATGTGTGTGCGCGCGCGCTCTCTCTCTCTCTCTCTCTCTCTCTCTCTCTCTCTCATCCTTTGTCAGACAACAAGCCTTACTAAGTTATTTGACTAGCTTAACTTCCTGTATCTCTGGTCCTACAGGACCTGTTTAGTTTTTATTGGAGTACTTCCTTGATGAGTATTTTTGGCGGGAGCCTTTAAGAGGCAAACTGTCAGTAGCTTTGCATGCCTGAGAACATTGAAGGGCAGACCAAAGAGGTTTGCCCTCATAGATGATAATTCTGTGTTCAAAATTCTTTTCAGTGACTTAAGAATTATATTTTCTTTTTAATATAAAAATTAACAATATAACTCCATTGCCTTTTTGCATCCATATTGCTGTTGAAAAATCTGATATTCATCTGATTCCTTTTCTTTCTTTTTTCCTCTGGAAGTTTTTAGAATTTTCATTTAATCTTGACATTCTTAAATTTCACTATAATGTGCCTTGGTGTGGGTCTTTATATATCTTGTTTTGTTCTTTATAAAGTCTTTTAATTTGAAATCTTTAATCTTTTTAATTCTGGGGAATTATCAATTTTCTTCAGGTATTTCCTTTTCTTTTTTTCTTTTTTATTTGTTTTCCCTCTTTTCTCTCCCTATTTTCTGGGTCCTGAAGGCTCTTCTTTTATTTTCTGCATCAGTGGATGTATCCCTTCATTCTTTTCTTCTTCCTTCTGGGAGAATACATCTCTCTGAGCTTCCATGGCCCTGTTCTTGAATCCATCGTACTATTGCACTCATTTATTGTGTTCAGGTTTTATTTTTCTTCTTAGTATTTCTCCTTGGTTTGTACTGCTGATCTCTACTGTTATCTCTTAGATAGAGGATATTAATAATGCCATTTAAAACGTTTTGTTCTGTCCCAATAACTCTGCCTCATGTTGTAAATATCCAGTCTGTTGCCCTTCTCTTACAGTGGTTGTACGCCTCTGGTTTCTAGTTATTTTGGTTTGAGGTCTTCTTTCACCAGAAATGTCAGCTCGTCTGCCTGCGAATTTGTACTGAGCAAGGGCTAAAGCTCAGGCCACAGGTTGTGTACCTTGCAGGGAGTAGAGAAAGGGAAGATGAGCCTCAGGCATTCTAAAGCAGTGTGGTCTCTCTGGCTTGCTGTCTCTTCTCCAAGTGACTTCCACTGATTGGTCGTTCACCTTCAAGTGCTTACAAAATAGCAGCATTGAGAGAAGGTGATCTCCTTGGATGGAAACAGACCAGCAGAGAGTTTTGACCAGAAGAGCTTCCCTACCCAGCCAAGCTTTGGTCTGCCCTGATAACGATATCCTGCCCCCCAACCCCCCTATCCCCCAACTTTTGACTCCCTGTGGCCATGCTTTCTGAGCCAGCTTCTCCACAGAAGAGGGGTCAGCAGTGATTCTTCTAAGGCAGCACTGGGACAAGATGAATGTCATGCTCTCCGCTTGGTAAGTGCTATTACGGCGGTCCTGTGGGAATATGGTGGAGTGGCACTGAATCCTGGATGTTGGGGGACCTGGGAGGGCATGAGGTCTTTATGGCTGGGAACTCAAATGCAAGTGTGAGTCTGGACAGAGGAGCAAGAAGAAGATTATTCAGGACTTTCTAAGCCAGAGATGGAGGAGAAAATAGCAATAGAAATCAACAAGGCTTGAGTTATCTAAATGCAGTGGATCAGATCTGGAAAATCACTGTTCAGCTTGGTGTTGACAGTCAGTTAAAGGTGAGTGTCACTGAGGGGCGCAGATTGGAGGAGGCTGCTTCCAGCAGCTGCCTGCCTCTTCCTCATCACTCTAGACCAGATTGCTTCCTGTAGCCATAATAGCTTTGAGACAGTTACGGTCCTACACCTGAATTTTGTGCTTCGATTTTCTGGCTGCTTTTGCCTTCATCCCCATGAAGGGATCCTGAGCTTCATTCTGCCCTTTCCTTTCTTGCTTTCCGGCCATTGACCGCTGATTGCTGCCAGCCTGTCTTTACGCGCAGCTTAACTAACTGCCTTTTTTCATGTTTTGGAACAGCTGCTTTTCAGGTAGTATATCTGAAGCAGCAGGGCTTGTGCCTCACTGTGAAGCCTGGAGCTAATACAGGGAAAGGAAATGCTTACTGCCTTCCAAAATTTTTTTTCCAAAAAAGCATTTGAAGCTTTTTTATTTTTTAACCTAAATGAGACTGGAATAAATATTTGATGACCATTAATAAGCACTCACGAGGCTTTTTTTAAAAGCCTGATTTGTGGTCATAGTTATTATCTTTTAAAAATCAGGATATAAATATCAGTAGATAAATTTTTAAAGCTTTTCATTTGGAATTATTTCAGATTTATAGGAAGTTGCAAAACATGCATAGGGAGGTCCAGCAGATATGGTTAATCTTTTTAAAAACAGTTTATTACTTAACATTTTTTCTGTCATTTATTGATTTCAGGGAGAGACGGAGGGAGAGAGGGGGAGAGAGAAACATCAGTTTGTTGTTCCACTTATTTATGCATTCATTGTCTGATTCTGGTATGCACCCGGATTGGGCATTGAACTTGCAACTTTGGTGTATCGGGACGACACTCTAACCAATTGAATTACCTGGCCAAAGCTAGTTAATTTTTTAAAAAACAAAAAGAGTTTTAATATTTTTTTCTGATTACATGTATTCAACATATGGTTCTTGTAAGGATTTCAGAAAACAGAAAAAAGTGTAAGTGGAAAATGAAAATCACATATCTACTAGCTAGAGATATTTGACTGTCCTTTCATTCATTTCTCTAGACATATATGAAGACACCTACATCATTTGCAATAACTGGTTGAGTAAGAAGCTCCTATTTCACACAATAACTGTTTTTAAATAAGATAAAGAAAATAGAAAGACAGTGGCTTCTTTGGAACTCACTGCTCTGGCTTTCAGTTTTAACTTTTGATGTTCTATTTATTTGCTGATATTGCCTTTTTTCCCCCTCATGTCTCTTAAAAAAGTTTCTATGCTATAGTCAAGTTGAAAGAATGGTAGAGTGAACACCCATATGCCCTTCACCTAGGTTCAACAGTTGTTAACATGTTGCTTTCTTTGCTTTATTTCTCATTATATAGACATTTTTGGACAATTTTTTAAATGAACCAGTTGAAAGTAGGTGGCAGAAATCATGGCACTTCATCCCTTGCTATTTCAGTTTGCATGTCCAAAAAATAAGACCTTCCTCTATAAAACTATAATACATATTGAAAATTATTATATAATATGTAATAGAATAGTGGGTGCATGAATCTATTCAGTGTGTTATAACCCACAAAAGTTCCTCAAATTATTTCAAATTTAACCAGTGGGAGACCTTTCAAGATGGCTGTTGCGATGTGAGAGAGAGGAATTTAGCTGAAAATTTGGGGGCAGCATGGC